CGCCCGGCCCCGCCCCACTCACGCGTAGGCCTCGAAGTCGCCGTTGTTGACGGCCTCGATGAGCTGCTCCGTGATCTTGATGATCTCCTGCTTGCGGGCTGGGGGCACGTCACTGTCACCGCCACCGCCACCGCCCCAGCCCCCCGGTGACACCGTGGGGGTGGGTGGACGGGATGTTGGGATGGACATGGCACACGGAGGGGAGGCGTGGGGACAGACACAGGGACAGGCAGACAGACCTTGGGGGCAGAACAACCTCGGGGACAGACAGACAGACCATGGGGATGGACCATGGGGACAAACACAGGGACCTTGGGGACAGACAGACCGACCATGAGGGCAGACAGACAGACCACAGGGACAGACACAGGGACCTTGAGGACAGACACAGAAACCATGGGGACAGACAGACAGCCCGTGGGGACAGAAGGCACTTGGGGACAGACAGGCACCACTGTGCTCCCAGGGCCCCCACCGCTCTGCCACACCAGTATTCACATAATGCATGTCTCATTGCTAGCCCAGTGCCACCCCAGTGTGTCCYAGTGCCACCCCTGCATGTCCCAGTGCCATCCTAATGCCCTCCCAGCATGCTCAAGCATCCCAGGCCTGCTCAGCATGTCCCAGTCGTTCCCAGTGCATCCCAGTGCTACTCCTGCAAGTCCCAGTAGATCCYAGTGCCATTCCAGCACACCCCAAATGCAGCCACTTCCATCCCAGTGTTTCCCAGTGCCATCCCACTGTGTCTCAGTGGCATTCCAGTATCCTCCTAGTTCCATGCAAGTGCATCCTAATACATCTCAGCGCAATCCCAGTGCATCCCAGGGCTGCTCCAGTGCCCTCTGATGCATCCCAGTGCCATCCTATTGCTTCCCAGTGCCAGCCTGGTGCATTCCAATACACCCCAGGTCCATCCCAGTGCAATCCTACTGCATTCCAGTGACAGCCCAGTGCACTCTCGTGCCATTCCAGTGCCATTCCACTACATCCCAGAGTGTCCCAGTACCATTCCAGGGCATCCCAATACACCCCAGTTTATACCAGTACATCTCAGGGCCATCCCACTCCATTTCAACCAGTGCCAACCTACTGTGTCCCAGTGCCCTTCCAGTATATTCCAGTTCACCCCAGTCCCATCCCAGTGCATCCCAGCACCATGCTGTTGAATTCCAATGTGTTCCAGTACCATCCCAATGTGCCCCTCTATATTCCAATGACTCATTTAATCCTGATGCCACCCCAGTCACCTCAGTTTCATCCCAGTGCAACTCCAGCRCATTCCAACACAGCCCAGTTCCATCCCAGTACATCCCAGTGCTATTGCAGAGCATACAGTACACACTCCAGCTTGCCTGGTGCATCCCAGTAACATCTCACTGCATCTCTGTGCCAATCTCCCGTGTCCCAGTGTTATTCCAGKGTATTCCAACATATCCCAGTTCCATTTCAGTGCATTGCAGTACCATTCTGCTGCGTCCCAGTGCACCCCAGTACCATTCTAGTGCATTCCAGTATACCCCAGTTCCGTCTGGTGCGTCCCAGTAACATCTCACTGCAATCTCCTGTGTCCCAGTGTTATTCCAGTGTATTCCAACATATCTCAGTTCCATTTCAGTGCATTGCAGTACCATTCTACCGCTTCCCAGTGCACCCCTGTACCATTCCAGTGCATTCCAGTATACCCCAGTTCCATCCAGTACATCCCACTGCCACTCCAGTGCATCTCAATTAATCTTAGCACCATTCCACTGTACCCCAGTGCTCYCCAGTCCATTCTTTTGTCACCTTCATGTGTTCCAAACATCTCAGTGCCACTCCACTATATCCCAGTTTGTCCCAGTGCATCTCAGTGTCACTCCTATGCCCTCCTAGTGAAACTCAGTTGCACTCCAGTGCATTTCAACATGGCCCRTTTCCATCCCATTATGACCCAGTACCACTCCAGAGCGTAACATGTCGTACATTCCATTTTGTCCCAGTGACATTTCCTCCCACTACATCCCAGTGCCAATGTACTGTCTCACTGCTATTCCAGTGCATCCCAGCACATCCCAGTTCTTCTCAGAAACGCTCCCAGTGCATCCTGGTGCCATGGCAATGAACCCCAGTGTCACCCCAGCTTCATCCCAGTGCACCCCAGATCCATCCCAGTGCATCTAAGGACTCTCCCAGGTCCATCCCAGAAATGTTCCAATACAACCCCAATGTAGCTGGTGCCATCCCAAATCCCACCCAGTGCATTCCAGTGCTGGCCCAGCCCATCACAGTGCACCAACTGCACCATGCCAGTTCCATCCCAGTTCATCCCAGCGCAATTGCAGTGGAATCCCAGCGCCAACCCAGYACATCCCAGCTCTATTCCAGTGCATTCCATCCAGCACACTCCCAGTGCATCCTAGTGCCACCCCAAGGCATCCTGGTGCCACCCCAGTGCATTCCAGTGCCATCCCAGTGCATCCCATCTCGGTCCCAGTGTATCTYAGTGTCATTCCAGTGCAGCCCAATGCATCCTTGTGCCATTCCAGCTCCATCCCAGTGTATTTCAATGCTGCTCCAGTGCATCCCAGTGAACCAAATGCATTGTGGTGCTACGCCAGTGCCATCCCAGTGCCATTCCAATGCAACCCAGTGCACCTTGGTGTCATCCCAGCACATCCCAGTGCATCCCAATGCATCCTAGTGCCATCCTAGTGCATTCCACAACTGTCCATCACAGTGCCATCCCAGTGCATCCTGAAGCCATCCCAGTTCATCCCAGTACCATTCCAGTGCACCCCAATGCATACTGGTGCCATCCTAGCACCATCCCAGTGCATTCCGAGACCCTCCCGGTGCACCCCAATGCCATTCCAGTGCACCCCGATGCATCCTGGCACCACCCCAGTGCATCCCAGCTCCCTCCCAGCGCATCCCAGTGCAGCCCTGCCGCCCCCTGCGCCCGTCACCTTTGGTGTCCTCGTCCTCAATGGTGGTGTTGGTGCTGTCGGAGGACTCCTGCTCGCGGCACGGCGGCGGCGGGGGGGAGACACAAACAGGGGGGGTCAGACCTGGCCTCGGGGGGACGGGGAGGGGGGACGAGCCCGGCCGGGGCTCRGCAGGACCCCAACAATGCCGGACAGCGCAGGGGGACCCCGCTGCCACCGCGCCCCGTGCGCGCTCCTCATCCGCATCACCCCCCCGAGACATGGCTGATGCTGGGGGAGGATGGAGGCGGAAAGCGGGGGCAGCGGTACCTTGGTGCCGTCCGCRGGGTTATGAATTACGGTAGTTTGAGGCTCCTACGGGAGAAGGGAGAGAGACAGACGCGGGGTGGGGGAAGCAAGAGCCCGGGGAGGGGACAACGAGAGGGGACGACGGAGTAAGCAGCACGTGGACAGGGGYGAGGAGACACCCAGAGCGGATTCGAGAAGGGCAGAGAGGGGAGAGAAGCAGAGAGTCATTAGTCCAGCGAAGCCAAATGGTTTAATTCAGACATGGAGGGGGAAGAAAGGGGGGAAAGGGGTGGGCAGAGCCGGGGGGGAGACGCAGTGAGGCCGAGAGGATGGGCTGGGCTGGGGG